TAAAACACCTTCCCCTTATAGAGAAGGAATACAATAACATGTTTACAAATAAAACTTGATTATTAGTACAACGTTAAATTTTAATACAGCTTAACTATTGTCTAAATCTACTAGGTAACTTAATTGTTATTTTTGGTCTGTGTGCCCTCTCAACATTATCAGTCTCACTACCTTTCATTTCATCAATATCTACATCTTTCCATCTAGACATTCTACTACTTCTTCTAATTAGTCCACTATTTAGCTTATGATGTGCGTACCGATTTGTTTCATTACACAATTAAAAGTAAAATATCATTATCGATAATACTAAAAAATACGTCGATCGGTTTCAAAATGTTTGTAGAATCTTCAAAAAAAAGTATTGATTCTAAGTCCACGAACCACATATGGGTCATGCTATTTTTAAATATAACCGGTTTGTATTTATCATTGTTTATAGATATAGTTTACTCTGGCACTCCAAATATAATTTAAACCATTATTATCGAAGTGGACTAGTGCATACTGTTTATCAATTTTAATTAGGGACTTTTCTATAAATAAATCATGAACCACATATGGGTCATCGGACAGTGAAGTATATACGAATCATATTATGTTTTTTATCAACAATCATGTTCTAGGACGAGTACATGCACCTAACCTAGCTATACAGTAAATGTGCTCGTGCGAATCACTGTTATCACACTCTGAAAATGATGATTACTGCGCACTGTCATATACGAGCAGTGTAACCCAATTTATATAATAGAATCCCCTGAGTACAATTGTGCAGAGGTTAAACCAATACTGCGTACGTTAGTCCTGGGTTCACGAGTTTGCTTTGTTTTATTAAGTTAATTTACCAGATAATTGTGCTCCACAATTCTTCCAGACCATTTCTCGCCATAATGTAGACAACCGTACCCATAAACGACATAAGCAGATGGAACCCATCAAGACGCACAACTATTTTCGGTTCAGAAATGTTGGATGATTCAATCAGATGTTAAGCTGATAAGAACAGATTTTTATTTAGAATATTATACAGTGGTTTATGAGTTGCTACAATAATACACATTTTACATATAAATTAAAAGTTGGTAAACACTAGTACGAGTCGTTGGTTTCAAATACATAAACGTCATTATATGAAGAAATATACTTACAAAATTCGAAAATATATCAATAGCACGTTTTGTACCAAAATTTCTATGCAATTATAGCCAACCTATAACCCAACAAAATGGGCGAAAAAAAAGAACGTGGTCGGCAAAAACTTATTAATCTGTGTGTGCTAATGCTACGAATTTATTTTCAAATATTTGTGGATCGGATTATTTATGTTGAGCACAAACTTTAGAGAGAGAAAACATTAAACTCTTTGGTATATCTGTTGCTGCATTATCCATAAATTGGTTAGGTGAAAGGTAAGAATCAAGCTCATAAGCAGTTGATTTTATATCGTTTTTTATGATAGCTGCTGCCTTTTCTACTATTCCTAGCCGTTCCTCTTTCCTATTTTCTTTTTTCGGAGCTGTATGCACGCATCGTTCAATAATCTAAATCCGGTATTTTTGAAACAACTGGTTTTTTCACGCGGTTTTTTTTAAATTATTATATCCGTACCATACTTCTCAACCAATTTGTTGCTAAAAGTTTTTTCGTCACATGTTCCCATCACCTTGTTATACAAAAATTGCATGGTGGACAGACGCACGTGCATGACCGACGGCGACAGGTTATCAAACATAAACAATAGCGCGCAAGGTAAAACCCAAATATAATGCAAAATCGAAAAAATTATTTTCCTCAAAAACCCATAGAAACAGACCGCGTTCGGATACAACGAAAAGCGTCCGAGTCGTCGAAAAACGCGTAAAACGTTCGTCATGAACGTTTATGTACGATTTTGTTGATCGCTTAAGAAATTCATCAATACTTTTAATTTTCTTGTAAACGTCTTAAATAGTCTAAACAGTAACAACCTAATAAATGGGATTTTAAAACGCATTCTACATTGTCTATATAATGTATTGTTATAGCGGTAAAACTGGCGTTATTTTAAAGATGTCCAGCTATCCGTAGTAAACGCAATGCATTGCGCATTCTTTAAATTATTTTTTATTTTTAGTTTGGTTTTTCTAATAACTGCGGATTATTAGATTTCGAAACGGGTTTTCTTGAAGGAATTCCATAACCGGGATTAAGCACTTTAATAAAATGTTTAAATTCAGTATTTTCAACCAGACTTAATGGCTGAAACTCCTTAAGCACTCATTATGTGTAATTATTCGTCAATTTGTTGCGATTATAACACAGATATTGGTCTTGGAGTATATGTTGAAATAAGTGCCTTGAGTTCGAGTGGAATTTAAAAGGACTGTATTAGTTTTAAAAGTTGATGGTTGATATTGAAATTCAGACGCAACCCTTGTCCGGATCATCGAGATTTTGCTTTGGGTATCTATAACTATTTCAGTGCTTACCTTCTTTTCAGCTTCATATTGTATAATATGTTTCCTTTTTAAATGTCTACTAAAGTTCGCGGTCGTTTACCTTTAGAAGAATAAGACACCGAACTAGAGCTCTGCACGGTCCGTGTTTTTGTGGACTGGACCGGACTATTAAAACAAAACTAAAACTGAAATCGGACCGGATCATTGAATATAATTATGAGACCGAACTAGACCAGATCTTAAATAAGATTTCGAGTACATAATAGAATTTAAAAAAACAGACCACAAGAAATCCTCTTAATAAAATTTAAATGTCTTATAATTTTTCACTCCACTCTATTGAATCCTATATAAATTGTCTCTTTCGATGGCCACTATCGCAATAAAAATTAGGTTTTCACTTGCCGGGTTTAAATTCGCCAAAATCATCGTCATAAAATCCAAGACTGCCATTTTCCATTGTGCTTAGTCATTGTCCGTCTCCACCGTTTCCATTGGCGTTATCCGGACCGGAGGCAAAGCTGCTATAGCTCGATGCGACCTTAGAGACGAGCCACTCCCTACTGCCGTACCTCGGGGTCCGAACCCTCCCAGTAGAGATCTACTGACCCTTTTAATAAATCAAGTGATGATTTTAGTACACTGAATGAATTACTATACTTTGAGAGTTGGATAACATTTGTTTGTTTATTGATTAACTTTAATGTATTTTTCTGCTGGTCTGCTGGAATGATTTATTATATGCGTTATATTTTTGTGTGCAGTATGTATCACAGACACCGAATATATTGTATGCAACTTGCCCGAGTGTTTCGAACGGCGCGCTGACCTACGGTTTCTTATCTGGTGACCTATTGATTCGATAAGCAGTACCCGTTAGTGTTGTGCGTCTTTCGCTAATTCTATAATCGAATCGGCCGCGGAAACGCATTTATTTTGTGTAAAATACGCATTAGTAATAATATTATGGGATGCCTGTATTAATAATCTTTTTACAAAACTTATCAGTAATGTTAATAGCTGCCTGTATGGTTTCCACTCCCGTGTTGTATGTTTCCATATTGTAATACGCGGCTAGTACCCATTTAGACGTAACCACTTTAATATCCCCTCTATTTTCGAAGAATATTCCCGAAGGTTGATTTAGTTCTTGCAGTTGAAGGTTATGTTGAGCAGTCGTAACTCCCAATGTAGTAAAAAACAATCTGAAATCATATAATTTTTTATTTATATATTTTTTTTATTTTTATTTTTATAAAACATTGATAATTTATACAACTACATATATAATAATAGTAACAATTATTGTTATAAAACTAAAAACTTAAGACAATATCTACGGTAGAAAATATTATAAATTTTCCCTAAGTATTTTTATGAAACCGTCGTACGACCATCTTCTAATTACATCATTAAAAATGCATTTTAAAAGCAGCACATTTGTCGACGGATCGTTTGCCCGCGCAAAATTAATATAAAATTTTAGAAAGTCAGAATTTAAATTATTGTTTGCCAGAAAGAGGCTGTCGTACAGCTCAGTAAAAATAGCTTGTAGTTTTATTTGTTCGTTAGAAAAAACGATTCATTGCCTGCTCCAAATGGTCTTCTGTGTTAAACGGTTCCTGACCTCCGTTTTCCTTAATAATAATTGGATTTCCCGTTAGTCTTTGAAGTTTGAATTTATCCAATGAGTTAGATATAGCTCCGCTGATCAGGACTAGGTCGTTTCGATTTAAGATAACGGAACTCGAAATAGTCGAGTTGTGTAAAGTATTACACATTAATTAAAAGTTACCCAAAACATCAGTAAGCGATAATCTGTATTCCACGTGAGTAGTATGTTTTGGCCGTACCGGCTCCTGTTATCAATAATAATAGTAATAATATTGTTTATAACCATGTATCCATACCAATTGATGAATTAGTGTATATCAGTTTTATTGCCTAGACGGCCATTATTAGTTTATCTAACATTACTAGTACATATATTTTTTTTTTTTTAATTCGAAATATACAATCTATGCCCTAGGCATAATAAGAATATGTGCTACAAGTAATTTCACATGTATAGGGTGAGGGAAGAAACTTCCTTATTAGTACATATGAATATTATAAACGAATAAAGGTAATATCGATAAAAAAAACAAATGATTGCATAGGTGTAACGTTATAAATTAATTAAGAGCAAAGTATGGAAAAATTAATTGTGTGTGTGTGTGTGCATAATTATAGTAGAAAATATGAACTACACACATCGTGTAATTTATAAAATATCAGGAATATTATATAATATTATTATTATTATATTTAATTTTATTGGAATAAATATACTACAAATAATATATATATATATATTTAATTCGTTTATTATACGATGAAGACAAAAAAAAAAAAAAAATGGGTCACCAATCCAATTCCTCCGCGTCCCCGCTATCGCCAGTAGCATTTGGTTGAGGGTCACGTCGCATCCATCGTCGGACCAAAGGGAACTGGTAGATCCGTCTAAGGGAGAAAGAGAGTATTAATGTTTGTGACCATCGTGAATAACGGTATGCTTACTGGAAGTCGACCATCTGGGTGTTGGTGGTGGAGACGGCGTCTCAGGGATGACGTCGACCGTTGACACTTGAACGAGTGTCGGCACTGCCTAAGACGGGACTGGCGACCAAGTCCCGGGGTCCATTAGAATCCATTGGAAATAAATCTGGCGACTAAAAAAATCACCACTAACGAGAAAAAAAACCAGAATTAAATATAATTTAATGAAGAACTGGTACGTACCAAGTTAAAGTTGGACATTGTCGACAGTGACGTATGTTCAATCGGCAAATGATCACTGGGTAAACGTCGAACAATAATGCTGATGTACACTATTTATTGAAAATGATAATCGATCACGCCATACGCGGGTGAATATATAGGGTCAAATGAGTATAGATATACATACCAGTAGTGGAGTATATGGAAATTAAAAAAAAAAAGCAGACAGAATTATGATAGATATGATATGCATCCAAAGTGCGTGGCAAATAAATAATAGGTCACAAGATCATCCGGATAAAAAACGTGTAATTGTATTTTTTTGTGCATTATATTTTATTTTTAATAAAATGTTTAATTACATTAAGATCATTATAATTTAAATTCAAAATTAATGATAATAAATCATCACACAAATAATTTATCAAATTTACCAATAATATTATACTAATATAACGTACGATTAACTTGTACGATTGACCATTACAAAAAAGATTAGAGAATTCTATAGTCTTTTGTGATTTGTCAATGTTAACAAATTATTGAAATAAAAAAAAAACACAGCCTGACTGACAACTATAGGACAATTCATTTTTATTACTTAATTATAATGGAAACTAAAATAATGTTAAAATTAATATGTTTTAACGTAAAACATAGGTTTAGATTTTAAAATACCTGTTAAGAGATTGTTCCGTGTAAAGTAACTATGCCGGATTGACGATAAGCAATATTTTGTGGACAACTGATAAGGATCAAGAATAATGAAATGTTATATTATGTAGAAATAATTTTGACCATAAGACTATGTTATAATCTATGATTTTAATAAAATTGGTACGATAAATATACTATGTTCAGAAATCTTTCCTAAAATACTACACTTACTAAACAGTTATGGGGTTTTCATACACCGTCGTATGCGAACGACATTTTATCGGGTTTTCCAGTGTAATGAACTGTAGAGTCCAATACAAACACTATCTTAACAGTATACGAAATATAGTAATTAAATGATTTAGACTTTAGTAAAACAAATAAACTGCCAAGATAGATTTGATTCAATTTAATATATCACTTTTATAAACAGTACTTGCACGGGTAAAACAAGTAAGAGCAATTGAATACATACTCGCTGTTTCATTGGGGTTTTATAGTACAAGAATGCAAGCTAGCATATCCTAATACTTGTGGTAAACAAGTATTAACAACGTCATTTACATAGAATTGAGTGCAATGATAAAATGCTTAAATGCTAACTAAGTATTACATCTTAATTAAAATCTACCCAAAACAACAGTAAGTAATAATGTTTTACACGTGCCATGGTCAATATTGTATCTCAAGGAGATCTGGCCATTACACCAGTCTTATTTTTATAGGTAATTATGATAACATTGAGTGTAAATATGAGAGTAATGTTTTTATTTTTTACTGCTTGTGGTGGACAAGTCGGATCATAAAAATGAGCTGACAACGGTGGAGAATGACAACGTATGTCAGGTACAGAGTCTATTGTTTCTACTGGATTTGTAGGTATAACATAAGCAATGATGACAAATATAATTAAAATAATACAAAATAAAACAGTTAAACTAAAAGTGATATACAATAAAATATTATGAAAAGTTAAAGAGGAAAACAATGTGTCGTGTATGATGTCATCAGAGTATAAGTCATTAATATCCAAGGTGGATATTGAAATATCTTTTAAGTTAGTGAGTTCTATACAGTGGCGTAAAAAGGTCATTGAAGGCCCGTGTGCAGACTAATATGGGCCCTCCAAAAACTTATTATAAAGTATAAAAGATTCAACATTAATCAAATAAAAATACTGGAATTACTTGAGAAAATTTTTCCTCCTTGACTTTAAATTTGCAAAGTCGTTTATAATTTTGTCAATTTCAAGTTCTGATTTTTTTTCTCTTTCAATATTGAGAATTGCAATATTCGTAAGTCTGTCTTGTGAAATTGAGTTTCTAAGATAATTTTTTATGAACTTAAGCTTAGAAAAAGAACGTTCGGCAGAAGCGACTGGAATAGTCAGAAAAATTAAACGCAGCGTAAACACGTCATGAAAAGACGATGCCAAGTCATGTTCGATTAAATATACTGTTAGCCTAACATTGTTAGGTCTCTAATATTATGTAACATAGATGTTGAGTTATTAACACAAAGAAAATTTCTTAAACATAAAAGTTGATTTGTAATATCTGAACTTAATTTATTCTTATATTGTATGTGTAAATCGTAGGATGCTTTAATTATAATTCGTTCCTCTATTGTAGTAAGATTTATTGGTTTTAAAAAAGAAAACTCATCACTTATTGTTTTAAGACCTTTAAACCTTTCTTTAAGCTGAAACAATGCCGTGTCCAGTGTGGGATAAAATACTTTAACTTTAAAATTGTCCTCAGTTATAGAAAGTCTTCGGTCACAATCAACTTCTTCGTGGTACCTAACAGCAAATCTATCACGTTTACAATTGAAGTTGAAAGGTATTTTCCATGTAACACAAAGACTTTTGGCGTCTTCTACTATATTATTATAATTAGCTCGTAAATTAGTTAAATCTTCAAAGGCATTATCAAGTTAAACAACAGCAAATTCTATATTGAAACATCATTAACTGGAGAGTTTTAGATACTATATTTAATGATCGTAATATCCGTTCCCAAAAACTTAAAATTAATACAAACTCAGCTGATTCGAGCTTCTTTTTCAAGGAACCACCTAAATTTTTTTCATCAGATTTATGAGACGTAAGTAGAATATGAGTAAGTGCTTTGATAATGTCAAAATATCGTTCCATTAATGCGAATACAGAGTCGTGGCGTGTTTTCCCATCGTGTTGGGCAGACTCTCTTTAAGGTTTTCTTTTGAATTTTTAATTCAACGTCTTTCCCTAAAGCTAGTAAAGCCCATCTAGGTGCACTTACACTAAAAAAGTTGTAAACATCTTGAACTATATTGAAAAATGTCTGAACGTTACTAGAGCTTTTTGACGCATCTGAGATCACTAAATTGAGGTTATGAGCACAACAATGTACATATAAAGCGTTGGGAAAATCCGATCGAATTAAAGTTTGAACACCTGAGTGCTGTCCGCTCATAACTGCTGCACCATCATACCCTTGCCCGAAACACTTATTGATACTAAGACCAAACGTCAATAATGTTTGACGTAAAAGGTTTGCATAGTCAACAGCATGATGTTTATCAAGTACCAAAAATCCCAAAAACGATTCTTTGATTTCAATTTTCTTGTTTTCGTAGTTAACTAATACATAACGTATAATAATACTCACTTGGTCAACTTTTTTAATATCTTGAGTAGAATCCAGTATTATTGAAAAACCACAAGATTTTCTGATGTCACCACAAATTATTTCACGAACTTTATTAGCTAATATTTCAATTATTTAATTTTGTATTAATGGACTTAAGTACTTGATTTTGTGTTTAGGATTACTCACTAGATTATTTAAAATTGGATCAAATTCCGCTAATAAATTAACAGTACGTAAAAAATTTCCTTCTAAACACTTTTTTAATGATCCAATTTTTCCTCTATGCTCTCTTAATGCAGTATTTCCCGCTGTTAATGATAATATGATTTTAATCAAACGTAGTAAAATATTTCTCCAAAATGTAGCCTCTTAACTATATTGCATTTCTAATTCCTTATCTATCAACCTATTTTTCACCCATATGATCCGCATATTTGTTGATTCTAAGTGTTGAATTGATATTTCATGTCGATGAATGCTTTGTGATAAATGTTTCCAATCATCGATTCCATTTATCCATTCAGACTTAAAAGAAGTACTTTTTCTTAGTAATATTTAAATTATTTATGACTAAAATGTTGATATTAACATTATGAACTTGATTAATTTACCTATATTCAAATTATCAACAGTTTTTTCATCGATTTGAATCTCTGGTGACTGGATCAATTCATTTAATTCTGAAGCTTGAGGTTCATCTGCTATAAAATACAAAATTATGTATATTTAATTTAATAGGTAATATTGTAATAATAATAATAATAATAATAAATTTTTGGTACGCGGTTAAAAAGTGTTAAGTTAAAAATATACTTTTAATTTCAAGTTATGTTTAAAAAATATTGAAAACATTAAATAGTTCTAATTTAAATGAAATTGATATTTAGTACAAAAAAACATTATTTTTAAATTATTCATTTAGAAAAAATTGTGCATAGGTCACCCTTATAATAATGATAATAATTTTACTTTAACTCTAGGTACCTATATTCTTGAGGGTATCCAAAAAAAAAAGTATATGCTATAGGTATACCTAACTAGACATTTAATAGGTACTCCTACTAGTAATATTTAAATTAATTATGACTAAAATGTTGATATTAACATTATGAACTTGATTGAGAATGATATAGGTAAATTGACATTTTTTTAAGATCTTAAAACCTTTTAAATTTGTAATTTATCTTTAATATCAATCAATAAACACCGTAAGAATCTTATAATTGACTTAACTTATTTGTTCCAAACATCGAGTTTTTTTTACAATTCTAAATGAGTCAAAACACGATTTTGAAAAAAAATCTGGTTTAACTCCTTTTGACCGCGCACTACATATAATAATAATAATATATAATAGGTAAATATTGTTCAGCAATCAGCATATTATAACTAAATAATAGGTACTACTTAACAATTTCCTATTTTTTCCGGTTTAAAACCAGACCAAGGCGGAAACTGCGTTAGCATTGTTTCAGCCTAGACTGATAAATTTTTACTTACCTATTCTAGGAACAACAGCAGGAATTGTAGAAAAAAAGTTGTTGATTTTCGGTAATTTTGACATTTTCTCTTGAATATCCTTCTTCTTTTTTCGTTTTTGGTATCCACTCAAACAATTTTTATCATCAGACATTTTATTGCGAATTATTTTTAGTATTTTAGTATTGTTTTTAATAGCACGTTTATTATAAACTGTCACTACAATACTATATGTGTTAAAAAAAAATATTAAATAATTTAATATTTAATAAAAATAAAAATACGAATCATATTATAACATAAACATAACAAACAAAACACTTTCAAAGTTAAACGAAATCCAAATATTGGTAAGTGTGTACACTTTACTGTGTCATTAACATAGTAGCACACTATACAGTGCTGAAGCTATGCCAACCTTGCTATAATATAACAGTATTGTTATTGTCGGCATTATCACTATATTTTCCCATTTT